TTATTTGAAAATCTTGTTACCCAGTGGAGACAGACGTAAAAAAGACGTCTTTTAAATATCTTACATACGTTGTGGACGTCTTTTGAGCGTTCAATAGACGTCTTTTTTTGGTCCAAAGCCCACTGGGTAGATATCTATTCTGATTTATTTTGAATAATGGGTAAAATATTTTAGGAGATATATTTTTATTAATTTTAACATAAATATAAAAATTTGATAGACATTTAATTGATAAACATTCATTATATTTGAATTAACAAATAATGCTTGGGAGTGTGTATAACGGCCCACATTGGAAATGATTCTGATTGCATGCTTTTGTTTATTAAATAGTTTCTTTATTTTGTTTTTATTTGTACTGCACCAAGCAATGTTTGCATAATTAAGATGGCAACAAATGAACGAGAAATATAAAAGCTTTAAGCAAGTTGGATTTAAAACCCAACTTCTATTTTAAGATAAATGAAGATAAAGGACAATGAATCTTCTTTCTTATCTTATTACTTACTTAATCTTCTTTTTCTCAAGATACTCAACTGCATTGTAGATACGCAGTTGCATTGTTTTGGCTCGTTATTCTTTGAGTATTTAATATTATTTTTATTAACTAATTTAAAGTGCTTACATTACCTAATGGTTTGAGTAATATGAGCACATTCATAGTTTTTTTAAAACCTCTGGGTTTAAAAATAATATTTTTTTCTGTGTCTTGTCACAGAGCACCGCAGAAGCTCACGTCTCCTTCCTTACCAACGGCGCGAAATATGACTTGAACTAGCTTCGAACCCGGGATCTCCTACTTCTTAAGCAAGAGCTCTAACCACTGCGCCACGGATGCTTAATTTTCTATTTATATATTATTTAATATTATTCATTATTATATATATATATATATATATTTATATATATATATATATATATATATATATATATATATATATATATATATATAAATATATATATATATATATATATATATATATATATATATATATATATATATATATATATATATATATATATATATATATATATATATATATATATATATATATATATATATATATATATATATATATATATATATATATATATATATATATATATATATATATATAGTGAAAACTAAATAATTATTAAGATATATTTCAATTACATAACTAAAAGTTTCACGCAATAGCGATCATCAGATGTAACAACAATAAAAAGTAACGACAAAAATTATATACAAAAAATGCTATGGAGTGTCTGCTTTGATGACATTAAAGTTTTTTATTAGAAATTTATTTTCATGGCGGCATTTTGACGCAAGCTCGGTTCTTTTGTTAAGCAAATTCAATGGCGACGTAATAATGTGGTATTTACATTTATATATATATATATATATATATATATATATATATATATATATATATATATATATATATATATATATATATAAATATATATATATATATATTTATATTTATATATATATATATATATATATATATATATATATATATATATATATATATATATATATATATATTGTTTTTTTATTTATTGTTGTCTTTGAATAGGTTGTTTTTTTTTTTGTTTTTTTGTTTTATAAAGTGCTGAAAGATCTTTCTACTGTAATCTCCAACTCATCATAAGTGCAGTGTTAATTTTGTTAGCTATAAAAATAGTCTTAGGGATCGTCCATAATTTACGCACCGCTAAGTTTAACAAATAGACAAGATCAAATGTTTTTCCTCGCAGAGTCTTTAAATAAACCAAAAATCAAAATAGACATTTAAGTGCGGTGAAAATCGCCGCGACAAAGTGCGAATGTACATTATTTTTTAAATAAAAGTAGCGTTGCGTAATTTATGAACTTTACTTACTACTCGCACTTTAAACACTTTTATTACCGTATTTACGCGAAACAATTTAAAAGTCATACTATTCTTAGAATAAACAAAATTATTATAAATACGAATCATTCCGTAAACCAAAAAACACAACGTTTGGTTTTTGTTTTTTTTTAATAGCTTTTTCTTTAATATAAATAATTTTATTATATATTAAGTATTATATGAAATTTATTTAATTGATAAATTCGGAAAAAAAATAGCGTTCATAAATGTCAATAAATAATAGTTTATGTTTTTTTATTGATATTTTACCCCCGTGCTCAAACTATGAAAAGAAATTTTTTGTTTTAAAAATTCTGTAAAACCGCGATGTATATCAATTTTTTCTCGGAAACATTATTAAGTTACAGATTCAAAGAAATTCTGAAGTAATGGTTTCAACAAAATTTACTTCAATAGTTAAATCCAGTATACTAAATGATTGTTTTCTTGGAAATGTTATTTTACAAATGAATTATAAAACTAGTTGATGTATTTAGTTTATATATATACATATATATCCTTCAGATGCTATCTCTATGAAAATAATGTTTGAAAAAGTCACGATTTGTATTTATCCACAAGTTAAAGATTTGGGTTTAATGAAAAAAGAAACGACTGATATTCTCTCAGTTGAAATCTTTCATAACAACTTGATTGAACTAAAATGCTGTGGTTTTTACTATTACAACCTAACATTAGAAGAATCACAAAATGTATTAAAAGATAAAAAGCCCGGGAGTTATATTATAAGAGATAGCAGTGATAAATCATTTTACTATGTGCTCTCTTTAATATCAGAAAAAAAAAAAGTTGTGAATTTTCGCATTTACTTTCACGATGGAAAATTTTTATTTGATGGAGCATTGCTGTGTTCTACATCAGTAATCGGTTTAGTAACTTTATTTCAAAAGAACTACTCAAAATATTCATTATATAAACCAATTTTAAAGCATGTTCCCTCGTTACTACATTCTTCAAGATTAGTAGTAAATCAGAGTTTACAAGATAAATCAAAGGTGCCAATCTATATTCAAAGAATTTTGAGCTCATATCCTTATGAAATTTAGTATATATATATATATATATATATATATATATATATATATATATATATATATATATATATATATATATATATATATATATATATATATATATATATACATATATATATATATATATATATATATATATATATATATATATATATATATATATATATATTTATATATATATATATATATATATATATATATATATATATATATATATATATATATATATATATATGTGTGTGTGTGTGTGTGTGTGTTATATGTATTATAAGTTATTTAAATTAAAGTTTATTTTTTAAATTGTTTTTGAGTAAATTTTATGATATTTATTTAGTAAAATTGATTTGAAATACAATGAATTTTTTTAATAATTAGTTGTTTTCATTTTGTTATTGTAATAAATTTTGATTGCTTTAGTATTTCTAATTTTTTTTAATGTTTGATAAATGACTTGTTAATTATATTTACCCCTTATCTTTATACATTTAATGCTCAGCTTTCGTGTTTATTTTTTAAAAGCTGATACTAAAAAAAGATCCAAACCATTTTTTAGATATCTAATTAGGTGTATTTTTACTTTTTAACATATGATTAAAAGGAAATATTTACCAAAATTATTTTACACATATGAATATAGTTTAAAATAATAAGTAATAAAGTTCTAAGTTCAATATTGAGGAAAAGAAGTCAATTTTTTTTACTATAAATATATAACAGTCATGTAATACATGACTCGTATACTATCACGTAAAGCAAATCACTGTAATATAAAACATTTTTTATATGACATTCATTATTGCTGCTCAGGCCATAAAAGCAAAAACAGGAATTTAAAAAACAAATCTGTCTCACTAAATGCTATTACATTTGATCACAAGATCACCAAGTCTTCATGGAGTACCTTCATGGAGTGCCTTAAATGGAGTACCTTAAAATAATACATGACTGTCATATAAAAATATTGTCTAATGTTTCACATCAATCAAATATTTTGTACCACAGTAATATGTTATATACGATGATTGTATGTTTTATGTGTCATGTGCTATATATGACACTCCTATATAGTCTGTTATATATGACACATGTATATATATATATATATATATATATATATATATATATATATATATATATATATATATATATATGTATATATATATATATATATATATATATATATATATATATGTCATATATAGCTGCTATATATAACTTTTATAACAGACTATATATGTGTGTCATTTATATTAAAATCATATAACTTAATGTGTCATAGGATTTATATTGCAATCATATAACTTTGTGTGTCAGGATTTATATATGACAGTTGTGTTTCGTGTGTCAAAGGATTTATATTACAATCATATAGCTTTGTGTGTCATAGGATTTATATTACAATCGTCTAACTTAATGTGTCATAGGATTTATATTACAATCATATAACTTTGTGTGTCATATGATTTATATTACAAAAAGCTTTAATGACTGGGATACTTTTTATATAAATATTTATTTTGCTTAACATATGACCTGGTTTTTATTTTTATAAAACAATGTAGATAATTTACTTAGCTAAAATATTTTTCATAAACTTTTGTTTAAATATTTTGTTTATAAAAGCAAATAAAGATCTTTAATGCTAAAAATAACAGTATACATTATATTTCCACTTTTAAAACACTCTTTAATATTTAATTTTTTTGTTTGTTTACGACTTATTTATTAAAAAAGCATTTTTATAATATTTCTAAACCATCAGATAAAAAATATTTTTATTTACATATGATATTGCATAGCATGCATTAGCATATGAAGAAAAAAGGATTATTCCTTTAAAGATATTTATGATTTATTTTTAACGGCAAAACGAGTATAAAAAATTTTTAACAGATATTGCAGATATAAACTTTGGAAAGGGTATTACTGACTTCTAGATATAGCGAAAATTCCAAAAATCTATATGTTTATACTTATGCAAATAAGGGCGCTTTGAAAAAAATTGTGATGATTGGAGGCTGGGAACAAAAAAGCCCTAAAATTTTAGACGTCCCTGCTCCAAGTTTCATACAATAATCTCTTTGCATTCATCATGTAATGTTTAAACCCCCCCTCAATTTAAGGAGGTTTCAAATTTTTTGTAGTCATAATTTTTGAATCCCTAATAATTTATAAAATTTACAATTTATCGATAAATTTTAGTTTAGTTTAGAATAATAGAAAAACTATTTTATAAACTTGTTGCTCTCACGTTTCGGCCAGGGACGTCTAAAATTTTTGGCTTTTTTATTTCCAGGCTCTAATCATCAAAATCAGAAAAACTGCTGGCTACCCTAGAAAAAATCGCCGGGTTAAAGTTAAAGTTAAACCCAGTTTAACCCTTTAACCTAGTTAAAGCCAGGTACTCTTCATCGCTCTAACCTTTCTACTGGGTACTCGGAATATATGTAGCATAAATGTATGTACCTGCCCGAATTGATCTAGCGGTTTTTCCCAAGTACTCGGAATATATAGATGTGCCAAGTACCAGGCTTGGACCCAGAAAAACCCGCCAGAAACCAGGACCGACTCGGGTTCCCACCACATCTTAAATTGTAACAAAAAATATCAAACATTGAAAACCATTGTTATCAATGTTTGATATTTTGTTATCATTTTTGAATATTTTTAGCCAATATACGTGGTCTGAAGCTAAAACGATCTGAACTTATACTTACGTACTATTTTTTCTTTGTTTATAAATCAGGTTTGAGTCTTTTTACTACTTTTTTTATGTATTGAACTCTTTTTTACTTTTGAAACTATTTAATAAATACTTATCTAAAACTATATGATAAATGTTTATCTGAAACTATTTAACAAATGCTTTTTTTACTTTCCTGCTTAGTTTTCCTTCCCTCTCTTCCAAAAAAACAGCACCTGCATTCGTGTTATGAAAATCTTTGAATTCAACTTTAACTTATCTGAATGTTATCAAAACAATTTATTCTTATTTTTTAGTATCTTATTGCTATTATTTGCAATGACTTTGATATTTTGAGTACAATCAACATAATTTTTATTCTTCTCGTTCTTGTGCATATTAAGGAATTTTTTTTGTTTGGAAAAAAGTTAATGGTCAAAATTACTTTTTTGCTTCCAGTAATTTTAAGAGTACCATAGAGTTCATTATTAAGTACAAAAGTCTAGAAATCTAGAATATGTAGTCAGTATAGTAAGTTTGTTTCCGAAACAAAATTACTATACTGACTACATATTCTAGACTTAAACAATCAAACACTCTTTGATTGTTTATAACAGACAACCATTCTTAAATATGATCTTAGTGTGTGAAAAAAAAGGTATTTATAACTTATTTATATATTAAAAGATAACAAAATAACCCCCCAGATAAGCAGTGTACAGTGGGTACTAGTTAGGACTTATTTGAGTCACTGGGATAATGACTGGGAGTTGATCTGAATAAATGAAGGGTTCCGTGTAATGTAATAAAACAGCCGCAGAATAAATAGTTTTGCCATCGAAATTTAAGACTCTGTAATAATATATAGCATACTCGGACATTTAATTTCATTTTTTTAAATATATATTTTAATTAGTTATGTTAAGAACGTTATTTGTGTTACAGGCCCGTAGCAACCGGGCAGGGGGGTGGGGGGTGGCAGCAAGTGCATTTGCCCCCCCCCCCCCCCCAAATAATTTTTCAAATAATTTTGAAAAAATTGACTTCAAAAAAAAAAAAGTTCTCAAAACTATTTTTGGGGTAGTACTGCCCCCCCCCATCCAATATAATTTTTGTTTCCACGGGCCTGTGTTATGAATCATTTTTTAAACCTAAACATTAACTCTAATCTCATATTACATTAAATAGGTTTCATAGCAGTATTTAATAAGCACAATTAGAAAACATAAAAAAGTATATACAAAACAACACTATTGTGAAACATGTGTAGTATTTCTTAGTGCGTGCAAAAATAGCTTTTCCGCCCTAATTCGTAATAAACCGTTAAAAAACGGCCAGAGAAATAAAATTGGCTTAATTGAATCGAAATTTCCTTTTGATATTCTTAATAAACTTTAATAGTTTGGATTATGAAAAAAAGTTGCCCTAATAGCAGTTTAAAATTTAATACTTTTATGTTAAAAATGCTAACCATTTAAAACGGTCAATTTAAGTAGGGTGATCATTTATACCGTTTTTTGCCTTATATTCATCAATAAATTTAGTGTGATCTTATTATAAATTAATTAGTAAATTCAGTGTGATCTTATTATAAATCACCATAAAAAAATCTGCTTTAACACCATAAAAATCATTTTTAACCTTTGGCAAGGATACTAACTTAATCTGAATGTAAGGACTGTAAGAATATTCATAAAAAGTGGGGAAAATTTTCTTTTTAAATGTGTATTTCACTTTAAAGGAAGTTTTAGCGTCCAATCAAACTCTTTATAAACAAAGATATACTGATGCAAATATAGGCAAGGCCCATGTTAATAAGTAAACTTTTTTTGAGACAAGTATTTTTTCACTCAAATTAACTATTAAAAAGAAAAATTTATTGTTAAGTAAGAAGTCCTCTAGTACACATTAATGTAGACCCTGCATCTCCACTATCAAAATAAAATAAAAAACTAAATGGAGATGAACTAAAAGTTTTAAAGTAGAAATGAATAGACTAGTCGAGTTTTAGAATAGACTGGTTGAGTTTGAGGTCAAATTAAAAGTAGCAAAAGAAAACCTAATACAATTATCCCATTTATGTTGCAACTAGATTTAACCTTGTTTGATGGTAAAGTTGTAAATGCTCTTACTAAAACTTTTTTCTACCAATCATGTAAAGTTTGTGGAGCTAAACCCTTAGAAATAAGAACCTAAGAACCTCAGAACAGAATAAGAACCTAAGAACCTCAGAACAGAACCTAAGAACCTAAGAACCTCAGCTAAGAACCTCATAATCAGGATTTATCAGCTCTAAACCAACTAATGAAAAACCTTTACCTTTTGGTTTTTCTACTCTGTATTGCTGGCTCAAATCTTTTGAGTATATTTTGTATTTAAGATACAAAATGGGCATTAAAATATACTTCGCCAAATTCCTTAAAAGTATCAGTAAAAAATAGAAAGAGAAAAAAAGTCAACAGAGGTTTAGAGACGAGCTAAGCCTTATAGTTGATATGCCTAAACAGGCTTTTAGCCACACTAATGTTGTGAACACTGCTAGTAGGGTATTTGAAAATGTTGGGATTTTTGCTAATACTACGTGAGTGGTTGCAGATGTAATTATCAGATTGCGATGTAATAAGTATCGCCATAACTGAAGTGGTTTGAAAAACTTAACTTTATGTGGTTGGAAAACGTGGTTTTCGCTCATGGAAGTTAGATGTCATGATCGAATTATTTGTTTTGGAAAATTAATTCGAAATTTTTGTAAATAAAAATCTTAAGTAAACTACCGCTATAATCTAAGTTATATTGAAGCAAAAAAGAGTCTTTTCGTTGTTTAAGCGTTTTTAGGAAGATGGATTATGTAATTGGATTGGATGGATACTGTATTTTGGATGAATTGGATGGATACTGTAATTTTGCCTTGACTGAGACTTTATCTGTTATTAACAGATGTTACTGTTGCTGTTTAGTAACAGCAACAGTATCATTTTCACTAATTTTCATTTTTATTATGTCGTTATTTTATTATAATTATGACACATCGTTATTCTATAATAATTGTGACGCATTTTTTTGTATCATTATTTTGATTAAATGGAAAGGTCTATCTTAAAAATATCAAGTAGTCTATAATATAAAAACTGATAACAAGCTTTCTTTCCTAACTCAAAATTAACGTTTAGTTGGTGCCATGAAAGGGGAGCTAAGTAATTTAAAATTTTTTAATCTTAAAGGAAATCAAGTATCTATGTTGTATATGCAAATTAAAGAATGTATGTGTTTAGAAACATACTCTCTACATATGTTTTACATATCAGTGAAGAACACTTATTTAACCTTTTTCTTTAGCTCTAAGTTTTTTCACAATATATTTAAACGTGTGTGTGTGCGCCTGTGTGTGAAAAAAATTAGCTGAGCTGAAAAAAAAGCTTATCAATCTGTTTGTTTTCTGATTGACTAAAAAGTTAATAGTTCAAAAATCAAAATAAACAAATATTGTAAATTTATTTTACTATTATTTCTATTATCAACACTGTAATAAAAATTGATTTGTTATAAGTAATTTTAAATTTTTTTCTTTTTAGTTAAATAAGCAGCAAAAGAATGGTTAAAGTTAGTTTATATATATATGACTTATCAAAAGGAATGGCTAGCCAACTTTCTCTACCTTTACTTGGTAAGTTTGAAAACTATTTTTCACTATAATATAATACAAATACAATGGTTATTTTTATTATAAATTGTTTTCATCAAAAAAATTTCATTTGTTTGTTTCTTGTTAGTATGTTATTTAATATAATTTATGACATTTAACACAGCTGTTTTACTCAATATAAAAACTTCACAATTTTTGTTGTTGTTTTTAAAAAAAGTATTTCCACAAAAAAACTATAAAAAAGCACTAACTTCAAAATGTTGTTGTTGTTTTGTTTTTTTCTAAGCTTTCATCTTTAAATATAAAATGTATAAAAAATTTATCTGTTCTTGTAAAATAAATATTTACATTAAAAGGAATAAAAATAAATATTGTTTAAATATTGCTAACAATTCGGGGTAAAGCTACAGTTACGCGGCCTAAAATAATTATATTTTTACGCTTGTTGCGCCAGGGGGTTTTTCTATATCGACTATCTTATAGCCTGACTCGCAACGGAGATTTGCTTAACTGACTTAAATAATACCTATTTCAGTTAACAATTAGGTTCCAGTTTATTTCTATTGATTGATAGTGGTCTTGATTAGTGATTTCTTGTGAAAATTTTATTGAATAATATTTTTCATTGAAAAAATAGGGAAATGGTGTGTTTAGTTATGGATTATAAGGGCACATTATTTTTTGCATTTGCAAGGAGAAAGTGAGCGAAACATTTCAAAAATTTGAAATCTTCCCATAGTGCAGTGCAGCTAACTTTAAAACGGCACAAAATTTTTGGGAGTCTTAAAAGTAGACATTTAACTAGAAGAAAAAAGAAACTACATCTTGAGAAGACCGAATGATATCACGAATGGCCTTGGAGAATCATTGTAAATTGTGCAACTGGAGCCAATATTTTTGCACAAGCTGTCAAGACGATTGACAGAATTATGATTGAAAGGCTGCAAGGCAAGAATCTTTGGCTCTTAAAAAAAATAAAAAAAAGGCTAGAATGGGTAATACAAGCCTTTCCAGGAAGTGTGTGGTCTCACGCCTTGTGTAATAAAGTAATTTTTTTAGACAACTTGACCATGTTTTTATATAGTAAGCATTTTAAGGATTTGCAGCAAAATAAATCTATAAGAAACTAGAGAAAATAAAACAATGATACTCAAAAAAAAGAAACAAAAACTTTACCAAATATAAAATCTAAATTGAATAAAATTAAAAAAATTGAATATTAAAAAAAATGTTTTCAAAAAAATAATATACCTAAATATTTTTTTTTTTTTTTTTAGGGCATTAATTTTTTTCCACTACCAAAATTAATACAAGTCGAGGAAAAAAGCTGATAAGAATATAATGAAAATGTTGTGAAATCGTAATAAATAAGTCTATATTAAATATTTTTGGTTTTTATCAAATATTAAGTCAGACACAATTCAAGATCTACAAAACAGATTTTATAATACATCAATTAAATATAATTGGAATAACATAGTTATTTAACCGTATAGTTCATTTAACCATATATTATAATGACTTGATTGACGTCAATTATTTAGTTCAAATACATAGTTCTTAAGAATATAACAGAAAATAAAAACACTTTTTGATATAAAATTTTTTCACAACTTTTTTCAGTCAGTATATTAAGGAAATACTTTATTAAATTTGTTTTTCAAATGTTTTTGCTGAGCTTTACTGTTTTTATCAATGCACAGGAAAGCGAGAAAACTAATTGCTATTTATTTGTAAAAAAAAAATTTTTTTAAAACAAGTATGTAAAAAAAAAAATAAAAAGTGAATTTATAGGAGCCTGTTTAAAACGTTTTTTTTTATGTTTTTAAAAACATATTTTCTAACAGAGCAATTGTTATGTTCATTATCTCTAGTAATTCATATTAATGTTGGAAATTGGGCAATATAAAAGAAACAACTATAGACATGGATCAAATGTGGTAAATACATTCATATAAGAAACCATTTTTTTTTTTTTTTTTAAATTTTCGTATTTATAACATATTTATTTTATTATTTATTACAATATTTGTTAATCAAATAATATAAATAACAATTTATTTTCTTATTTTCCTGTTATATAAGTATTAAGAAATACATCAATCAGAGCAAAAATATTTTGTAAGTGAAAAGACTTTATGTCTTTTCACTTTTAAAAATGCATAAACGTTAGGAAAAAAAATCAGAAAATTTCTCATTGTTTTAGAGTACATAGTAAATTAGTTTTTTAATATACGGGCCGATAAAAATCCAGAATAAATTGCATATCAAAACTTTCACTTGTTGCTAAAGTTTTATAAAAGATAATATGTTTTTTTTTCATCAACTTGTATCAAATTTGGTAGCTAAAAATAATAACCACTTTAAATAAAAGAAAACAAAATTTGTGTATAAACTTTATAAAAAAAGAATTTTTGAAAATTTATTTATTTTAATTATTAAATTTTCTGGTCTATTTAATCAAAACTTGACATTTTGTTACATTTTTGTTTCCTTTTTATAAGGATTTCTATTTTTCTCAAATTAATGCTTTATAGGTTAAAAAATGATAACTGCTGTGGTCAGTTTTAAAAAATTAGTTTAAACCTTAACGAACAAAGCGTGCATGCGCCTAAAAGATTTTGCGATATGTCACAAAGATTGGACATCTGCAGAATGGAGCAAAGTAATCTTGTCTGATGAACCCAACTTAGAAGTATATAAAAACTAATAATGCTCTTTAGAAATAATGAATAAATGGATCCTTATAACTAAATTTATATGAAAAATAAACGCTCAAACTTGATGTTTTAGATTTTTTTTTACAGATTTAAGGAATTCCTGGCATATGTGAGAAGTAGATCTCTAAGAAGAGCGCCTAAGTTAAAAAATAATGTATTGAAGTGTTAAAAGCATGTTATGACACATCTGGTAATAAAATATTTCCAAATAAAGATAAATTTTTAATATTATTTCAATAAGACAATGCTCTATGCTATACTGCACATCATATAAAGGAATAGTTGGTAAAATATATAATCCAAATTTTAGAATGGCCAGCATAGTTGCTTGACATTTACCCCATAAAAAATTTATAGATAATGCCTAAAATAAGGGTCAGGACATGTGTCCTGACCCTTTAAAAAAACATTTTATAGAGGGGGTAACTTCTAAAAAACATTTTACAGAAGTTGTTGCTCTTGAATAGGCTAAAAACACACAGGCAGATTGTGAAAAATTATTTTGTAATATGAAGCAAAGAATTATAAAAGTTAAAAAAGGCCAAAGGAGGTGCAAAAAAATATTAAAATATGTATAAACAAAAAAATTTATTTTATAAATTGTTTATAAAATAAATACTTTTATTGAAAAACATGTTTATTTCACTCTAAAATCAATCTTAGTTGTATATTTTCAAAAAAGTGGAAGTGGGTTTAAACTTATAGCCATGGTGGTACACACACACACACACGCACACTTAAAAATTGCTATTTGTCTGTTTTTATAAAGACCATCTATGAAATTGAAATGAATTTTTACTACTTAAAATTAAACTAAAATTCAATTTACAAATTTTTAATTTTAAGTGTACATAAAGTCAGGCAGAGTAGAAGTTTTCAATAAACATTTTAAAAATTGTTCACTTTTATACTTCACTACCAATCATATGGTAATAAGGTAATAGCTTAAATAAGATATATAGAAATAAAGTTTTAGGTAAAGTTATCCACATCATGTGTTCAGAGTGCTATGATCTGTGACAATGACACATGGGCAATGATGATGTTTAATGTCTAGGAAGAACAGGCATGTGCTGTGACAATAAAAAATAAAAAAAAGAATTAATAACCAGAATCAGAGATTGGGAATATGGCCTGATAAAGTGTCTGAAAAGATTAATTTGGTTAATCAAGGATAAAGAAGCAAATGCTTGTGTATTAGCATATACAGGCTTTCCTAGGAAAGACGTGCGGTCGCACGCCTTGTTTGTCCATGCATAGAATAAATTTTTCAGAAAACGTGACCGCGGCATTATTTCGTAAGAAAGCATCCACAGAAAATAAAAAATAATATTAAACAAATGAAACGAAGTCTAAACAAAGTATAAAATTGAAATTGGATGTAAGAAAAATATTTTGATAATAAAAAAAAGTTCTTGTAACAAAAAAAAAAAAAGTCTTGAACATTTTTTTTTTAATTTTTATACTGTTTTTGTTTTCTTTTATTAGGGTTGCTATTTTCAGCTACGAAATTTGATACAAGTCAAGAAAAAGACGACGATAAGTCATAAAGTTTTCACGAAAATAAAAAGACTTGATACATAATTTATTCACGAACTTTATCAGACAATGTATTAAAAAACTGATTCATTATTTACGCTAGACGAATTTGGTTAAACTTTTTCATTTAATTTAGTTTTTACGAAGGTTTATGCAAAGGCAATGTCTTTATTCCCTAATACTTAGACAAGAAAATAAATTGCTGTTTTAATTATTAAATATATTATTTGAGATTTTAAACATAACAAAATTTTAATGTGAAAAAAGTTCTTTCTCGACTTATTCAAAACTGATTATACTGAGTCAATGCTCGCCTTTTATTACGTTGAAATTATTCAATTGCATAATTTTGTAATTACGAAATAAGTTAAAAAAAAAATTGCATTGCTTCTGTTGTCATTGTTACGAAAACAGTTCCTTCGGGACATTATTATATATTAACACTCGTTCACAATGTCATTTAATGATTGCAAAATAAGCAACTCAATCGTTTGACAATAAAATTTTCTTTCATTTAAAAAAAAAACAAACATATTTTACTAATAAATAGCAATCGTTTTCGTGTTTTCTTGTGTATCAATACATTCAAACATTAAAATCAATACATTTAAACATTTAAATGTATTTACGAAACATTTAAAAATTGCTTATAGTTCTAGCGTGAATTTTAAAGTATTACTGACTGATTAAAGTCATAAACAAATTTTACATTAAAAGGTCCTTTTATTTTCTTTAAACATTAATCTTTTTCTTTTTGATTTG